CAGCAAGAAGAAACGAAAGGGGCGAAAGAGTCAAAGCAGAGGACTTTGATGCAGAAGAAGGTGAAATGTTGAAAGAAGAAAACGAGCAAGAGGAAGAACTTTTTGATCAAGTATATGCTCTTATATTATATAATCTATTTTATTTAAAAAAAAATCTGTTTACGTTAATAAATTTTTATAAATATATTTTCTTTTTTGTTAAATCTAGGTAGGTGATTGTTTGGGTACTCTACTCAAGACTTTCAAGGCCCCATTTCTACCTCTTTTTGATGAACTCTTGCCTTACTTGATGCCATTCTGGGTGAGTATTGAATAACATTAATTATAATATATATATATATATATATATATATATATATATATATATATATTTTAAATAATTATTTTTCTTTTTTAGTTTTTATACAAAATACTAACAATAAGCCCTACATTTTAAATTTAGGGCAAGGATAGGACCTCTGAGGAGAAAAGAATAGCAATTTGCATATTTGATGACGTGGCAGAGCATTGTGGAGATGCAGCTCTAAAGTAAAAGCTTTTTTTATTCTTTTGTTACTTTAGTATCATTATTTAAAAAAAAATTTATAATTTTTATATCTTGTTACAGATATTATGAAACTTTTCTACCATTGGTGTTGGAGGCATGCAATGACACAAGCACAGATGTTCGCCAGGTCAGCATAGTTTAATATCAAACTATTATCATTTTATTTTTTTTATTTAATTCTAATTCTAAATAATAAATGTATCCGGGTGGGTTTCAGGCAGCAGTTTATGGTGTTGGAATTTGTTCAGAGTTTGGTGGAGCAGCATTCAGACCTTTTGTTGGTGGTAGGATTTTATTTGCTATAATAATAAAAAAGAAAAATAAATATAATAAAAAATCTAATGAAAGTAAGTTGCTATTTTTTCTTTTTTCAGAGGCTCTTACAAGATTAGATGGTGTGATAAGAAGGCCAGATGCATTACATGCAGATAATGTAATGGCATATGACAATGCAGTTTCAGCTCTTGGCAAAATATGCCAATTCCATCGCGATTCCATCAATGCTGCTCAGGTACTTTTTTTTTTTTCTTTCTAATAAAAATTACATTTTTGGTCCCTCAGTTTGTCTTATATTTACAATTTTGGTCCCAAAATTCTCAGATTGTTCCAGCATGGCTAAACTGCCTGCCACTAAAAGGAGATTTAATCGAGGCGAAAGTGGTCCACAATCAGCTTTGTTCAATGGTGGAAAGGTCGGATGGGGAGCTTTTAGGCCTTAACCATCAGTATCTTCCGAAAATAGTCTCCGTCTTTGCGGATGTACGCTTTTAGTCCCTCGACTTTTTTCTTTCTTTCTCGTTTCATATTTTCTAATTTTTTTTGTTTTTGTTTTGTGGTGTTAGGTTTTATTTGCTGGGAAAGATTTGGCATCTGAAGAAACAGTTGGGCGAATGATTAATCTGTTAAGAACACTTCCACCATCTACCTTGGCTTCAACTTTCTCATCTTTACAACCTCAACAACAGCTTGCTCTTCAATCTGTTCTTTCCTCTTAAGTCTTGAATAAAAGGTTTTGTATGATTTTGGTAAGTGTGTGAATTATTTGTTTTTATTTATGGTTGATTCATTTTTGCATGCATTTGGTGTTGAAAGTGAGAGAAATAGGTTTAGGGAATGAATTTTGCATATATCGATACTACAAATCGTTTTTGTTTATTTTGTCATGAGAGAGATGAAAGAGTTTTGTATTGGTTTTGGATGTTGAGATTTGTGACTTGTATTTAAGGATTTTAAAAATTTGGTGGTTTTATATTGGTTTGATCATTGATGTGATGTTACACTATTAAAAATATATAATAAGTGAATAGTTTGTGTTTATATATAAATCCATGAATATGTATATAGTAGGAATAGTGTCGTTTTCCACACAACGGCATAAAACCAACATTTAAATAATAAAAAAGGTTTGAGTTATTTTGTTTTATATACTGATTTGAAATAGTATGTTATTCCCACTTGTTAATTTTTAAACATAATTATGTTGGCGTAATCTTAAAAAGGCATGTTAACCACTTCTGACGTTGTCATATTAAAGATCATATTTGTTAGGTATTAACAAAAAACCCATTGGATTGGATTATTCCTTTTTATCTCCTTTAACTTAAAGATCAATTAGTTTTTTATGGTGGTTTCATTATGGTTGGCGGGGTATACAACATCTGAATAATCTCTTAAATGAAATAGAAAGCAATCCACAAAATTAAATTTTTTTTAGTACTTCACAAGAAAGGCCACACATTGGGTCTTTTATATATGGCCTTAATCCTTATTTTTACCCCCATCATCGTGAAAATCGAGCAAAATTCATCTTATTTTTTACAGTTATGGACTATAAATGCTCCTGTGTTGCAAGTAAGTAATCGCCAATTCTTCATTTTTGTATAGATGTAACAATTGTAAGTGTTTCAAGAACATTATGGCGAATATGGTTTACATTTTAGGTTATTTTGTCTTGTTATTGTAGCTCTATAAGCATACATTATTATTTTCCATACTGAAATTGAAGTAGTGTTAGTAGAACATGAATCGAAGTAGTGTTAATAGAACAAGAATTATCAACATGAATTATGAACACACTCGTGAGTGCGAGCATACAAGGCAACATGTCCGCAAATGATGCAAATTCTCACAATGATGTTTTTATCGCAAGTGTTTGATATTATTTGCGTAGTTGTAACTATAAATTTTCGTGACTTTGTGACTGTATTTTCACGAGTATTTCAATACCTAGTTATGTTCATTAAAATATCATTTGAACTAGGGTGCACTTTATAGACAAAATAAAGGAGATGTCTTATTCTCTAGCTTGTATGTCCCTATTTATGGCTTCATGTTTTGGGTCCCAGCTAGAACTTCGAAACATGAATAAGCATCTACTAAGAACCCATACAATGCAACCAAAAGGCTCCTATCACAACATGTGTTACCCTCTTCCTTATACATCCATATGAGGTAATTTCATGTATGCACCTTATGCATCCATATGAGGTAATTTCGATATTGACATTAATTTCTAAACACAAAATATTACCTTCGTTTATTAGGATGTTACTAAACATCCACGATTGCAAGTTACACCAAACAAAGGTGAAGTGTCTTTTCAATGCCAAATAGATGTCCCCTTGACCTCATCTATACATAAGAAGATGCTTATCCCTCACTAGTCATGGTACATATGAGGTAAGCATGACAATGATAAAGACCATAGTACATGGATTGCAAACCATTCGGATCAAGCTTTTAGACAACATTATGCGACTTAGGGGGTGTTTGGATAAATTAGATTATAACTTAATAGCTTATGGTGGTGGGAATAAACAATAAGCAATATGCAATATGCAAAGGGGGAGATGCTTATTAAAATCAATTTATTTAGCTCATCCCTACCACAATAAACTGATTTTTAAAGATTTCTATAGCTTATTGTGGTAGGAATAAACAATAAGCAATAAACACCTTCTTTTTTTTTCTAACCAAACACCCCTTAGTAAAGAAATATACGAGGTCTTTATGCAAATTAGATAGGAAACCGAATTATATGAGAGCTTAGAGTAACACTGATGATGACATCGATCTAATATGCCACGAGGATGGATAATTATGACCATATGCACTCGCGAGACAAATTTGTTGGTTATGTTAGTTGGATAAATAATTCCATAAGCATCATCAACAATTTGATATCAATTCTTAATCACAAAATATTATCTTTAATTATTTACATATTAGGTTTTGGCTCTTGTATTCATATGCATCTACTTGAGTCAACTACTCCAAAATTCTATTTGTCCTAGAAACCCGGCTCAATTTTCTCAATTAAAAAAACAAATAAAAGATGCTAAAAGAATATAATGAAGATGAACACTAGGGCAAAACAAGTGAAAACACATCGACTATTTTATTGGCCTCTTTCCACAGGTAATCATGTTTTTCTTTCATCCCTTGGAAAATTGTATTGACGTTTAAGACAAGTCCAAACATAGAATTGAATTTAAAATATTTGTCATTTTCTCTAATTAAACACTTTCTGGTTGAGACTCTGGTATTTGGGGTTATCTAGTTGATATCTAATTTGCCTCCACGTGGCAGTATATTAGAGTATCTTCCCTTTTTTCATATCGAAATTTGACCCATTAAACTTCTTTTATCTCTGAAACACCCCCTAATGTTTACCAATAAATGATAACTTCTACATTAAGTATACAACAAAATAATTAATTTATAGAAATTTTAATTTATTTTTCATTATTTGGTAGGCTTAATTTATTTTTACATAAGCCTTGTTACGAATCAAGGCTCAAAAAAATTATACAAATAATAGAAACCAAATGCATGTGACCTTCATTCCAAGCAAATCTCGAGGCCTTCTTTGTTCAAATACGCACCTACAAAAAGCAAAAAAAAACATATATAAATACTTTTGAAACTCAAGTGTCTTTTTATCAAAAACAACATAAATCAGGGTTCAACTTTGTCCAATACAAAATTACAAGGGTTGAAATGTAGAAAATACAAAAAGGTTGTGTAAGATTTACAATACTTTACTACCCATGCATATGCTTGGTCTTATATGACCAAGTCCATGATGGAGGTTAAATTGACATCTTAGCCCTCTTGTTATATCAGGTCCATACCCATGTCCAAGGGTAAATCAGTCATCTAACCACATGGAATGTTTACTATAAAAATAGCAACTTGGTCTTTCTAATTAGGAATAATTTGTCTTCTTAGAAAACTAATAGAATGTTCAACGCTAAAAACAAACACTAAAAACAAACATACCATAGAAACCTCAGAAATCATGTACACACCTATACATACACCCTATATCTATATCCATATATATATATATATATATATACACACCAACATAAAGTAGGAAAACAAGGACATAGAAGTTAGAACAAGTGAACAACACGCTTGAGTTCACATTCAAAATCTCTCAAAACTCACAATGGAAATCCAATTCCAACAACAACCAAGAGTGTCGAAACCGAGGGGTAAAAACGGAAGTTCAAACAACAAATTTGTCGGAGTAAGGCAAAGACCTTCGGGTAGATGGGTGTCTGAGATCAAAGACACAACACAAAAGATCCGAATGTGGTTAGGGACTTTTGAAACCGCAGAAGAAGCAGCTCGAGCATACGATGAAGCCGCCTGTCTTCTTCGCGGCTCCAACACGCGCACAAATTTTATCACTCACGTCTCGCATAACTCCCCTATCGCGTCCCGGATCCGTAATTTACTCAACTCAAAGAAAATCGCAAAAAAACGAGATCAAGATTCTTCCGTTCCCTCAGTCTCAAATACTGCATCCACCACTCCCAGTATCAGTATCAGCACCAGCATCAACACTAGTATCAGCACTAGTACTAGTACCAGTACCGGTAGTAATAGTGACAGTAACAGTAACAGTGACAGTAGTAGTGAGAGTAACTGTAAGTTGTTTGATGATGCGTATAAGCCGGATTTGAGCAAGTGTTGTTCCGGAACGTTTGAGAATTCGTGGGGTTATGGAGGAAGGATTGATAATATGGAGTTTAGTGAATTTGAGAGGATGAAAGTGGAAAGACAAATATCGGCTTCGTTGTATGCGATGAACGGGGTTCAAGAGTATATTGAGACTGTGAATGATCCGAATGAAGGAATATGGGATCTTCCTCCTTTATGTTCTTTATTTTGTTGAAGTTTCTAGTGTTTTTTTTTTTAATTTTTATTTTAGGATTTAATTGTGATTCTTGAAATAACAAGGGAGAGTTTTGAAAATGTGAAATGATTTATGTAGATGTTCTTGCTTGTTGCTAATATGTAAGTAAGAAGCAAAAACATCAAGTTGGTGATTTTGACTTTTGTGGAATCATTAAGATATTGATTTCTTGATTTGAATTATATTTTTAAGACATAAGACATACCTCTTATTCTTCTTCTTCTCCTTCTCCCTGATCTTCCTCAGCATCTTGACCAACTTCCTCATAATCTTTCTCAAGAGCAGCAAGATCTTCACGTGCTTCAGAAAACTCACCTTCTTCCATTCCTTCTCCAACATACCAATGCACAAAAGCTCTTTTTGCAAACATCAGGTCAAACTTATGGTCAATCCTATTAAACACCTCAGAAACAGCTGTGTTGTTACTTATCATACACACTGCACGTCTAGTTTTAGCAAGATTCCCTCCAGGCACCACCGTAGGTGGCTGGTAGCTTATCCCACATTTGAAACCAGTCGGACACCTGACACACAAACAAAATTACCATTTTACCCTTCCACCAAATGTGAATCAAACAAAACATACATGATACATACCAATCAACAAACTGAACAGTTCGTTTAGTCTTCATGGATCCAACAGAAGTATTCACATCTTTTGGAAGAACATCTCCACGATACATCAAACAACAAGCCATGTATTTCCCATGTCTTGGATCACATTTAGCCATCATACTTGCAGGCTCAAACACAGCATTGGTGATCTCAGAAACAGAGCTTTGTTCATGGAAGGCTCTTGCAGTGGAGATGACAGGGGCATAAGAGGAAAGCATGAAATGGATACGAGGGTATGGGACAAGGTTGGTTTGGAATTCGGTGATGTCAACATTAATGGCTCCATCAAACCTTAAAGAAGTGGTTAAAGAGGAGATGACTTGAGAGATTAAACGGTTTAAGTTTCTGTAACTTGGTCTTTCAATGTCTAAAGCCCTCTTGCATATGTCATATATGGCTTCATTGTCTAAGAGTACAACCACATCTGTGTGTTCTAGAAGGGAATGAGTTGATAACACACTGTTAAAAGGCTCAACAACTGCAGTTGACACCTGTAACAAATTTACAAAAATGAGAGAGTTATAACTTATAACTTATAACTTATATATGTGTATTATATAACCTGTGGAGAAGGAAAGATACTGAAACCAAGTTTAGGTTTTTTCCCATATTCTACTGATAAACGTTCTAGAAGCAAAGATCCAAGGCCTGAACCAGTGCCACCTCCAACAGCATTGAAAACCATGAATCCTTGTAACCCAGTACAGTTTTCAGCTAATTTTCTCACTCGATCAAGACATGTGTCAACGATTTCTTTTCCCACTGCACATATGAATTGAAAGAAATTTAAATATGATTATGAATCTGTTGATCATGGATTTGATTTTGTTACCTGTGTAATGTCCTCTGGCGAAGTTATTAGCTGCATCTTCTTTGCCAGATATGAGTTGTTCAGGATGGAAGAGTTGTCTGTAGCTTCCATTTCTGACTTCATCAATGACAGTGGGTTCTAGATCAACGAATACAGCTCTGGGGACATGTTTTCCAGAGCTGGTTTCACTGAAGAAGGTGCTGAATGAATCGTCTGAAGAGCCTCCTCCACTGTTCTCACTGTATAATCAACAACTCATGATATGAATGACCCTCTTAGAAGAGAGAATCGATTAGTAATCAAACACATCAAAGAGTACAGTAGTATGAAGAAATAGGACAACAAGGTGTTGAAGGAAACTTGTGTTGTATGCATGATCACAAGCCATCATTAGGTTCTAATATTAAGTTAAAGTTATCAATATTATACTGTTTAGATGCATATCTTGTAAACTTCTGTTTCATGCTGTAAAGAAGCTGCTGAGATTAAGTGCAAAATTAGGTTTCTTTCAAATTATGATCAAATAAACGAAATTGTTGTATCACAAACACCAAAATCAATTCAGTAGATTCGATTTTAGAATTCATAGATCGACCAAAAACTATTACGAAAACTGAATGCCATCTGTGCCATATATAACCATATAATGCGTGTCTGATTGCATCAAGCATTGTTCTATTTGACGCAAGCCCTAAAATGGATCAAACTTACATTATTCCTATTTGATACAAACCCTAAGAACAAACAAATTTATATAGCTTAGAAATGTAACGGATTCGAATTTCCTCTTCCATTCCTTCATTTAAATCTCAAATGAATAATCAAATCCACGATACAAACAGCAAATTCTGATAGAAACAAAGCAGCACGAAGAACATGCACATACCCTTGCAGGAATCCATCGTTTTGAATTCCGTGTTCGAGACAATAAAGCTCCCAGCATGCATTGCCGACCTGAATCCCTGCTTGACCAATGTGTATGCTAACGATTTCTCTCATATTTATGTGCTAAAAATGTGATGATTTCTTCTGGAAATCCAATTGAAGAAGAAGAACAACAGATGGAGAATTGATCGAAATAGAAATGTGAAGAGAAAAGAAAAAGAAACTAATCGGGAAAGCGGTTGATACGGGATCCCAGTCGTTGGTTATTTATAGTTGGCGCCAACTTTCTTTGTTTTCGCTGTGCGTTGCACCTCCATTGTCTCTTATGCGTCCTCACAATTCACCAATCAATTTTTTCTAAAATAATTATTTTACATATTATTTTAAAAAATATATATATAAAAGAGAAGTAAATAAAGACAGTAAAAGAAAAATATTATAGGCTAATGTTTTAATATATTAAATTATTAATTGTATCTCATATTTTCACTGTGTAAAACATCTTTTCCTTACATGATTATTTATTTTATTAAATGAAATGAGTTGCGTAGTGACGATAAAAGGATTTTACCATATGAAAAGTTATAATTACTGTAAAAAATGGAAGATGGAAGCATAATAAATATGATATGATTCATAAAACTAGTGAAGATCTTAAGATCATGACAAGTGAAAGAAGAGGGGCTAGTTTGTATTACTTTAAAGATGAGGGTGTTTATCGTAACTTGACTTCCAATATTTTGCTAGAGCGATGATAATGAAGCTCATGGTTGAAATCAACAAACGCCAGATAAGAAGAGCAACCGGAGTCGGCATAAAAATGGGTGGTTTGAAAGCGGTGGCAGTCATCACCGGCGGCGAAAGCTCCGTCAAAGGGTCTCTTCAGTTCTTCCAGGAAGCCAATGGTCTCTCATCTCTAGTACCACTGTTTGTGTCTGTGAGTTTGTGTATTGAGATTTGAGGGTTTGTTCTTCGAGCACCCGTTTTTCATTTTCGATTAACGAAAAACTATCAGGAAAAAGCTCTGTCAGTTGTTATATTTCTCTACATCTGTGATTTTGCAGTTCAATTGCTACTCTGTTTTCCATGGATTTCGCTCAATGATTTTGTGTGTTTGAAAAACAGGGGTAACTCATGTGAGTGGTAAGATAACAGGGCTCAAACCAGGTCTTCATGGATTCCATATTCATGCTCTTGGTGATACCACTAATGGCTGCATCTCCACAGGTACTCCTTACATCCACAGCACTCCGTTTTTCTGGCATCGAGAGTTTAAATTTTCAGTTCTAAATTTATGAATTTGACCTAGGTTTTTTGAGATCTGATCACTTGATTTTGTTTACTTTTGTGATCATACTCCAAATTATGGTTAGATAGGTGATTGTGATGTGCGATTTTCTTACCTTTTTCATGTGTGATTTTGATATAAAATTAGGACCTCATTTCAATCCATTAAAGAATGATCATGGAGCTCCTCAAGATGATGTACGCCATGCAGGCGATTTGGGTAACATTGTTGCTGGTGAAGACGGTTTGTGCTCTTTGACCCTTAAAACCATCAAATTTAGGCTCTTTGACATTTTGGCTATGTGGGTCCCATTTGGGAGAAATTATAACGGGAACCATAAAAATGAAAGATTCATGATAAAGAATGAAGAAAATGGTGTAAATAATAGAACCCTAATGTTCTCACTTCACATTTAACCATTTTTATTCATTTTGCAGGAATTGCTAATGTATCAATTGAGGATAAACATGTATGCATCTTATAACTCACATGTAGCTAGTTTTGTAATCTTTAATGGGGAAAATTGAAGATATCTTGATTAAGGAGATAATCAGATTGTTTATTTATTTATTATTTTTATTTGTTAATTGATTTATCCTTTGAAACCTTGTATAGATTCCACTAATTGGGCAGCATTCCATTTTGGGGAGGGCAGTTGTTATTCATGCTGATCCTGATGATCTTGGAAGAGGTAAAAACTTATAGTTCATGACATAATCTTAGAAATCATTAAACTATTGATCATCATTTCAAGGGTATTCTTGGAATTAGTTATTTACTAATAAGTTGTGTTTTTTTTTTTTTGTGTGATAGGTGGACATGAACTTAGCAAGACAACTGGTAATGCTGGTGCTAGAGTTGGTTGTGGTAATTATTTGCATCTTTCCCTCTTGAATAATACTAAAGATTCTAAGAATGGATCAAGGGCATTCATGTCTTTTACATAGATGAGAGAGAATCCCGTTCCTACGGTGTTCTGGTTATTCAGATGAACAAGAAATTGCAATGTTCTGTCATGTCATGTCATGTTACTGTGTAACAGATGGCCTACATGATTTGAATTTGTTGCTCATTGTCTCAATCAGCTAATGTTCTTGACAAAGAAAACTAAAGTTTTTTTTTTTCATTGTTCTTTAACAGGTGTTATTGGACTTCAATCTTCTGTGTAAGCTAGGCTCCTTTATACTTTGTACAATATGCATATACTTGTTAATCATGTTATGAGATCCAAAAAATGAACTAAAGAAGATAAGAAACATGTTATTAGTTCACTTGCTTTGGTTGAAATTAGGGAAGGAATTGGGTGTTATTTTCTTTTGAAACCATTTTCTTCTACAAAGAAAATAGACATTGGGGATGATAGAGGTAAATGAATTGGCAAAAATATACCTCATGTATGGGGGATATGGTTACACTTGACGATTTACTAACACCATTTTGACAGAAGGTGCGATTCAAACCAAATTATATGGATCAAACTATAATTTTTTTTTTTTTTTGTTATAAACAATTTAAATATTTCTTTTAATATATAAATATATTTATATAATATTAACTTAACATAATAAATAAAGTATATAAATGTATCTATATAAAATTAAATTAATGTAATAAGTGTATGTAGGTATGGGTATTAGGGTAAACCGGTGGGGGTAGACATGTGGTTATGGACATATAGGTGTCAATGTTGGTAGGAGTATGGGTGTAGGATGGGATGGCTGTGTGTATGTGGGTGAGGATGGAGGCAGGTGTAGGGTGAGATAGGGTAGGGGTGGACATGTAGTTATGGACATATAGGTGTCGGGGTTGGTGGGAGTATGGATATAGGGTTAAGGTGGGCATCAACACCGAATATGTTTGTTAGTGTTGGCATAGACATGTACGTGTGTGTACTTGTAGGGGTGGGTGTTGATATATGGTGGGTATCATGATAGGGTTGATTGTATGAGTGTGGATATAAGGTGGGGTTGGGTGTGTAGGTGTTGGTGTAGGGGATGGGGGTTGGGTGGTGTGCGTGTGGGGGTGTAGGTATGAGAGCGAATAGGGTAGGGGTGGGCATGTGGAAGAGATGATGATAATATGTATTAATTTGATGAATGATGACTGAAATAAAAAATATGTGAAAATGTATTTTTGTCTTTATACAAAACATATGAAATGATATAAGATATATGAAATCTTGGCCTTTAACCAAAGAATGAACAATTTCTTTAGACACATAAATTAATGGAATCTAAAGAAGTACTCCTTTGATTTTGCCAATCAAACGAAATTTTTACTGGAATTCATATTCACATTCCTCCAAATTATTTCAAATTCGGTGAACAATACACACCCTAATGGATGCCAGGTTCACGTTTTATAAGGCTATGGAGTGTATTTATAACATCGTAACAAAAAAAGTTTTGTCACCTCCGGGTCTCTTTGCTACCACTTACACTAGGAAATCTATTACTCCACCACCCCCAAAATGTTGATCATATTGCACAAATCCCACAGTGGTGAAGTCAGAATCATAATAAAGGAGTATCCCGAAGAAAAAAAATGCATAATATACAATAAAAAAAAATAAAAATAAAAAACGCAATTTCATTAGATTTAAAGTTCAACTTTCATAACAAAGTTATGTTTTAAAGTTCACATATTCACTCTTTCATTTTACGAAAGCGAGTAATTATATTTTCAGTCTTAACATTCTCTAGTGCTTCCTTTTCTACACTACAAATCAAAGCACTATTCAAAAAATCGTCACCTATTTTATTATGCAAATCAGTCTTCAAGAACTTCATTGCAAAAAAACACCGTTCAACAGTTGCGGTTAGGGATGTAAACGAACCAAACGAACACGAACAAGGTCTTGTTCATGTTCGTTCGTTTAAGTTAGCCGAACAACAAACGAACACGAACGGATAAACGAACAAGATTTTCTTGTTTATGTTCGTTCGTTTAACAAATTACTTTGTTCATGTTCATTCATTTATGTTCGTGAACATGTTAAACGAACATAAACGAACAAACATAAACGAACAAAGATAAAAAAACACAATTGAACATATATGAACATAAACGAACATATAATATAGCAATATAATAAAATATAATTTAATATAGATGAATATAAATAAACTTAAACGAACGAACATAAACGAACGTAAATGAATATCATAAACGAACGTTCACGAACATAAATGAACGAACGAGACAATTGTTCATGTTCGTTCATTTAACTAAACGAACAATAATTTTTGTTCATGTTCGTTCATTTATTAAATAAACGAACATAAACGAACTTCCCGTCGAACAGTTCACGAACGGTTCGCCGAACGTTCAGCTCGTTTACAGCCCTAGTTGCGGTTGCAACGAGCAAAACTAAAATTAGTTTCTTAATAATCTATAAACCAAAAGAAATGAGAGGTGTTTCCTAGTTTCCACCAACAAACGAGAGAGTCCTGCAATTCCCTTCAAGTTGAAAAATCTCTCATCATGGAGCAAAGAGTGATAATAGATATCAAGTTGCCCATTAAGTTGCGTCCTTTCTGAATTGTCAAAATCGTTTTTGTATATCTCGCTTAACTTTAACAACTTGGCTTTATTAAAACTAGAAAATGAGTCACAATGACTCAAAGCCGCCATGTTCTCGACCAACTCTGTGCCAACTTCACTAAATCTATTCCCAAATTCTTGAATTTGCATATCTAAAATCGTATTAAAGATCACAACTTCAAAATGATGTTGATTACTCTTGTCAGTCCTATGCTTTCATGGGGTAATATAATATTCGGACATGTCCACAATTCCAATACTATGCTTTTCGCAAAAAGCACATATCTTTTTCTAAATTTGTGGAAACCCATCTTTTCTAAAAACTACCAATGCTTTCTTTGTCCCTTTAACTAATAAAGCCGCTTCCAAAATATCTTGATCTTTTTTTTTGAAGATTCTTTGACAAGGTATTCGTTAGACATAGAATTTCCAACATCAAGTGTAAAAGAAACACGAGATCAAACGTCTTGAAACATGACAAAATACCATTTACTTGATTACTATTTGACATATTTAAGGATCGCAACAACTTCTACAAAAAAATTCAACAAACTTACAATTGTTCTAAAATGTGAGCCACATCTAGTATCTCCAGCTCGAACAAGAGAAATCTATTGATTCAATCTTTTTCCTGTTTTAGTTTCACCAATCCCAATTTCGGCTGCCACTCTTTCTTTTTGCATCTCTCGTATCATATCTTTTCTCTTACAAGACCCACAAACGACAGTAACCACCAAAGCTAGTTGTTCAAAGAATTCTTCAACATCATCATGTTTCTTTGTAACCATCACAACCACTAATTAAAGTTGGTGTGTAAAATAATGTATATAATGTGCGAAACTGTTTTTTCATTTAAAATCAAAGATTTCAAACCGGTGAATGCACCAATCATATTACTTGCTCCATCATAACTTTGCCCCCTCACATATATATTTGAAAAAATTAATAAAAAATATAATAAATAAAAATAAAATAAAATCGTATTAAAGGAATAAATATTTTATGATTTCTCGCCTGAACCATACTCAAGTTGTTGTTGAAAAATACACTATCGATAACAACTTTAAGAGTCAAAGAGGATGTATCCAACACGTGAACAACTCCAATAAATCTTTCCTTTACAATCCCAAGTCTATAAACATATCTCAAAATTATAGTCATTTGCTTCTTACCAAATAAGGTAAATTTCAAAATTATGGCCCTTTGGTTGACAAGGTACTTTAATCAGATATGACCTCCTTGTTTCATCCATTTGGTTAGGATTATAAGATGAAATCTTTGGCCTCTCCCCCGGGTCCAAAGGAAGCTCATTCAAATCAAAAGATTGTGGCACTTTCGGTTTTTGAGTATGTTCATTAGATTGTGGTTTTGGAATAGGCTCATTAGATTGCGGTTCTTGTGGTTTTGGCGTAGGTGGATTAGGTTGTGGAACTTATGTACTTTCATTAGCCTTATTTTTTAAGTTCCTTCATTATTGTTGTCTCCAACATCTAATTGTCTTTCGAATAATTTGTTAATAACAACCTACAATCAAAATTTATCAACAATCAACTATAATTCTATAACTTGATTTCATTTTTCAACAACACATAGCAACCTACAATCAAATTATCAAAATATATGAACTAGAAACTTGATTTCAAATTTCAACAACAAATAATCACTAACTATTGACCATAAATCCCTAATTTAACAATCCTAATCGGTGATTTCCATTTTTTTTGACACAATGCAAAACATTGAATTTCAATTAACCAAAAAATAATCACAAAAATCTACTTACTTGCTTTATTGTGCACCACTTTGATCAATAATCACCCACCACCGGGGGATTTCGCTTGAAAACAGCCACCACAATGACCGATCGCCGACAGAAGAAGGATGGGCAGCAGCAAGTTGCAGGGAGGGCAACAAATTCGTTAGTCGTAAGTCGGAAGTCATGATACTGGAAAGTGTCAATTAATTGATTGGATTTTTGGTATTGGAGACTTGACAATTGGGCTTAATAAGTTTGGAGTTTTGGACTACTTCATGGACTAGTTCTTAATTGGATTTACCATTTAGAAAAAACCTAAAAAAAATTAGGATAGCCCAAATTATTTATGGGATTTAAATGCAATATAAACAAAAAATTTCAGAAAAATTTATACTATTAATTTTTTTAGGGGCCTCCTCTGATACCCACGGTTCTTAATTACATCAGCCTATGAAACCCCATAAGGTAGTGTTTGGATGGTAATGATTTTTGTATGTTGATGCATTTGTGTTTTGGTTGGATGGTGGTGTGTTTGGGGGTTGCTCCATTTTTTTAAATGAAAGTAAGAATATTGAGAATGCAAAGTGTTGTTTGAAAATTGTTATATATAAAACTTTGCGATTATGTTTGTATTTATAGATATATTGGTTAGAAAAAAATTAGATCCAACGATCATTCCAACATTCACATTGCCACATCACCCTCATTAGACCTTTTTACACCAACTACGCTCCTTAATCTAACACCCGGGGGGGGGGGGGTATTCATCCGTTTGAATAGGCCTCTACGTCATCACAACATACATGCCGTTATGGATAACCAGTTGGCATAAGACCATAAGGAATGGTCGACAAGATTCTTACCACCACATCAACGTCACATCAACTTCACTACATCCTTATCCACCTTGGAAAATACCCATCACTCCACATCATTAATTTTATATAAATAGAATAAATAATATATAAGAAAGATAAATAGATTAATAAGATATAGATTGTGTAGTTCCGTCGTTCTATTCACTTCACTACATAACCATATTGTCCTTAGGCTGCAAGAAGTGGTCTACGCTTGAAGACTAAAGATATGCCACCTCACACAATACCATTCCACATCACCCAAAATATCAACTTAATAACCATTAGAAATGGTGTTTACTAA